GGATATTATTACCTAAGCTTTAAGTGACAACTGTGCTGCATTGCTCATTTTGTTAGATTTTGCCAAAGCTTTTGATCGTGTATCACATCTTCTGCTTTATCACAAACTGGCTGGCTATGGTTTTGGCAATAATATTCTTGCCTGGCTCAAAGACTTTCTTGAAAGTAGGAAACAGCGGGTTGTTCTAGGAAATTTCTCTTCCGAATGGAATGGTGTATCTTCCGAATGGAATGGTGTACCTCAAAGACCAGTCTTAGGTCCTCTTCTTTTTTTGATCTTTATTAACGACATGCCAGAATTAGTCAAAAATAATTGCAAACTCTTTGCTGATGATAGCCAGTTGGTTGCCAAAATAAAAACAGTTACGAACTTGGCTTTAGTTCAAAATGATATTGATATGATATGTAATTGGTCAAGACTTTGGTGCATGGAACTTAGCATAAATAAATGCAAGGTTCTAAAGTTCCGTGGTGGTTCCACAGACATCAATATCCCCTTGACAATGTTAGATAAAAATGGCAGTCAAATTCCTATTGAAGATGTATCCGTTGAAAGAACATTGGGTGTTCTGATACATAATAAACTGAAATGGTCAGATTAGATTAGTGATGCCACTCTCAAAGCTAATTCTATACTTGGGATTCTCATAAGAACTTTTAAAAAATGGAATCCAACTATGTTTGTGAAGCTCTATACAGCATATGTAAGACAGATATTGGAGTACTGTGCACCATTTTGGTACCCTTTTCTTCTAAAAAACATTAAAAAGTTAGAGTCGGTCCAACGAAGAGCTACCAAACTCGTTCCACAATTTTGCAGCTTGAATTACAAGAAACAATTAGCATATCTAGGTCTCAGCTCATTAGCTGAACGTCGAACAAGAGGAGATGTAATTCAATTTTTTTTAAATATATAAAAAATTAAATATTGTTAACTGGCAACAGCAGATTAACAGAGCAAGTGCACTCCTATGTGATGGTCCTGCAGGTCATCTTCGTGGTGCCAAGCATAAAATTGATCAAGAATTATCGAAAAACTCTCAAAGACATAACTTCTTTAGAAACCAAGTGGTGTCATCATGGAACGCTTTGCCTGCTTTGGTAGTTGCTGCAAATTCAGTTGATCGTTTCAAAAACAATTATGACAAATGGAATCGTTCTATCTCACGTCGGTCTACTATAGTCGGGTCTCGTTAGACACTCGGCTCATAGAAGTCAAACTTCTATTGTAGAAATACTATAATAATAATAATAATAATGATAATAATATATATATATATATATATATATATATATATATATATATATATATATATATACACAATGAAATTCACAATACACAATGGCTGATGATTGCCGAAAGGCATGAAACTCAGAGCTCCATCAAAAGTTGTTTTTATTCATTTAATATAAATAAATAAATTCACTCCCAACTTGTTTTTATTCATTTAATATAAATAAATAAATTCACTCCCAACAAGGCTGCAAGAAACCACTATTAAATTGGGAGTTACTAGAAAACAAAGAATAAAGTTTAAGAGTAAGAAAACGATGAAATTGATGAAACCCTGAAGTTGGGAGAGAGTTCCAAAGGGTTGAAGTGCATTTTTTTTTAAAAAAAAAACTAGGCGAATAAAAGTTTTAAGAGCATGCAGGGATAGATAGGGGTCGTCCATAAAGTATGTACGCTCATAGGGGAGGGGGAAGCTTTCAAAAAGTGTACGAAAGCGTATATGAGGGGAGGGTTCAATTTAAAAGTAGATACTTCAATTTTCTAATTTATCACAATTAACCAGCTAATCAATAGAAAAGTCAAAATTCTGACTAAAGATCTTAGTTTGCTAACATAAAAAGATGTATATTATAGGAAGTAGAAGGTATAGTTTCTTTGGCGCCCGCAGGATTTTTTGATGTTCCAGATTGGATACTTTCACACATTGTGCAAACTCAAAACTTAATTATAATTATACTTATGCCAAATGAGGAGACCTTGCAAAAAATCGAGATGGTGGAAGTCTGGGAACAAAAAAGCCCTAAAATTTCCAACTTTACCATCTAAAACTAAATTTAAACTTATCGACAGATATTAAATTTTGTAGAAAAGTATTGTAAGTAGCTAAAGTTATGACCATGCAAACTTTCTGACCCCCCTTATTTTGGAGGGTCAGAAAATTTGCATAGTCATAACTTTTGCCACCCCTTATATTATGGCCCTGAGTGAGGCGTCTGGCAATCTGTTTTTTGAGTTAACAAAAAACAGGTTTTAGCAGTGCCATAGCTAATGGGTTGGATGCCCCCCTCCCAACAACAAAAAAAAGTGTCATTAGGGTCTCAAAATCTTCCAAATTTTACTGCTAGGTTTTGCTAAAAAAAAAGTTCCTTAAATTAGCAAAACGGCACAAAATTTGCTGCTTCTCCCTCCCTCCTCCCCCTTCAATTAAGGAGTATGGGTAGTATACCCTTGGCACTGGGTTTTAGGTTTTATTTTCAATATTACTGATCTTGCATAAGACTTGTTTTTTATGAGCTTACTTAAGAGGGGTGCTTGAAAAAACGTCCGACTTAAGTATAGTTTATTTTTATTTGATCCGTCATTAAAACAAAAAAAAAGTACAATATGACTTGCGGGGAATCTCCGCTGTCGAAGTTCATAACATTAACCACTTGGCCGAGCACACATATTGTTTCAGAGGAATTTAACTTTATTAAAATTAATATTTGTATATATATTTAAAGACGTTTTTTTAAATTGAGACCCTGTGCTGCAAACAAAGGACTTTGGGGTCGTAAAAAATGTGTTTTGGACCTTGTCAAGAAGAGAAAGAGCATCATTAGAAGAACCAGGCCAAGTATAACAACAGTAAATACAGGAACAAACAGTTCCAAACAAGAACAAATAAGAGATTTGTAGAAGTAGAGAATGTAATCAGGAAATGGCGAGCACGAAAAAAGGGAAGCAACTTTAGGAGATGCTAATTTAGCAATCAATTGTATACATGGTTTCCATGAAAGAAAAACAATAATCCAAGAAGTAAACAATCCAAGAAGACGTAAAGAAGAGGACTCAGTGAGAGGATTGCTATTCATTAATATAGGAACAGTATTGCGATAGTTGTTTGCAGTAAATAACTAAGTTTTGTTGGAGTTAAGATTTACAAGCAATCAAAAAGAGAAGATTTTTTGTCAAGACAGGAGTATAAAGTTGAGTAATCAGCAAAAAGATCTACTTTATATGTAAGGTTGTTGGGAAGATCATTAATGTAGATAAGAAACAAAACAGAAACAAGGATAGAACCTTGAGGTACCCCAGAAGTTAGTGGAAATGAAAAAGAGTTTTGGTCTTCTAGGATGACTTTCATAAAGCAGTTAGAAAGAAACAATTTGATAATCTCAAAAACTTTTCCAGAGACACCATATGAAGTAAGTTTATTAAGCAGACCAGCATGCCAAACTTTGTCAAGAGCAATAGCCCTAGCCTCTTGGTCTCCATCTAATGCACAATAAAATTTCTCAGTCACAGCAGTTAGCAAGTTAACCTGTTTAGTTGGAATGGAAGGAAGGCCATATGATTCTAGAGATCCAAGGAATGGCCATAACATTCTGAAATCAAATTAGAAGAAAAGTTCTTTGCAAATAGTTTTGCTTTATCTTTGGGAGAGTTAATAAGATCAGTCCCATGTATGAGAGATGGAATGTTAGATCTACCCTTGTTAATGACACTGTTGAAGATTTTCAAAAAGTCTCTAGAGCCTAACTTTTGAGATAAGATACGAGATTTAGTGAACTGAGAATTATGAAGCTTTGCATCAGACAGCAGCACCTTTTGATATACAGTGTCGAACCCAGAGTTTTTTTGTGTGTTTTGGATGAGGTTAATCAATGAACATAAAAATTTACAATTTTAAAGTGGCAACAGATGCGACTAGTTTATAACCATCTATGAAGTTTAACAACAATATTTAAAAAACATGAGCATAACTAATTAGCATAACTATGGTAAACAGAAAACATTATTCACATTATTTCAACGTTTTTTTTACAAAAAACTGTTGAAATAATGTGAATAATGTTCAAATGTTACACAATTTTCATTATCAAAAAGGTTCATCTGTAGCGACAGTAGCATATGTCATCAAGATGCTTTTGCAGCAATCTGGAATGCGTTTTCTCTACAACTTGTATCAGTATTTTCTATATTTTGAATTCAGTGTTTGTGGTGGATCAGTTAAAGGTGCTCATAAGAGTAACAGAATGTTCAGTTCAGCTGTCATTAATAACTTTCACAGATTTAACAATTGATTTAGTGTCACGAAATTTAGTAATTTTTTCCCAGGCCTTAGAATTAGTTCTTGTCAAAATGGTTACATCAAGCTTAACTGACTGCAAAGCAGTAGTTGATGATGATGCCACAAGCTCGGCATGATGATATCACTTTACCACTATAGCTACCATATTGGACAGGCAATCCATGCTGGTGCAACAATACCAAACTTGCACTGACTATGAAAAAACAGAAAAACTTTTTTTATGTTTATTATAATCTTTTCTTTCACTTAACATGAACTCTTCATCAACTTTCTTTGTTGTCCAAGGGACTCATAAAAGTAACCTTTTATATAGAAATTTGCTTCTAAACTGCTTGCGAGTTTGTTTTATTATTAAAAAATATTCTTTAATTGTCGAAAAATGTTTGTTTGCTTATTGCACTTCTGGGTTTCTTTTTTTTTAATACTTTCTTTTTGAAAAAAATTTTTTTTTAAAATAAAATTGCAAAAGGTAATTGCTGGCAGTGCCGGCAAATAATTCTGAGATTAATTGCCGGCAGTATAATTTAAAATATAAGGTTAAAAACTGCTGTTCGTTAACTGCTTGCGTAGCTCAGTGGATATGATAGTTTCTAATAAAAGTGGCGACCCGAGTATGATGCTGCTCTGTTAATTTTTTGCCCTGTAATCTTTTTTTTGTGAAAATTTGTGTTTTATTTCAAACAGTACTAATTTTTATCAGTATTACTCATATATTTTTTAAAATTGAATTGTAATCATCAACACATGCTTTCACTTTTACAATATGGGGTGGGTAAGTCATTGAAATTCAGGCCTTTTTCCGGATGTGAGCTAAATCATTAGGCGTTGTTTTTGCACTGACTGGAACTGTTTATTTTAAGGCTTGTTAGTAGTGCAATCATTGTTGGAAGTACTTTGTTTGGTAAATTTTTTTATGGGTTGACCATATAACTATATTGCAATTCAAATCAATAAAACATTTGAAGAACTTGCTTTTCCATTCATTTTCAGCAACAAGCTTAAATTAAATTATATCCAAACTAAACTCGACTTGTGAAATTAAATAACAATTTGCAATGATAATTTAAAGTATGTGGTCAATATGAATGTGATGAAGTCAAAAAATGGTTTAAATAAAATTTTCACATAGTTTGTCCACAAACACAAAGTAAGTTAAGTCACCAAATAATATTTAGCTTCAGTACAATATCTTTAGCAAGATATTGTAGAAAACTATAATATATATTAATGTTCTTTAGTATAATAGTTATAATTAATATTTTATATATTAAAATAAATGGTAATTAAATTTAATAAAAAACATACCTTTTTCAAACAAATATTTTATCAGATAAGATAGCTCATAAAGGACAATCCTACATAAAATTTGTTTAATATTTTTGGAAAATCAGAACATGGTATAAAATCGAATATATATATATATATATATATATATATATATATATATATATATATATATATATATATATATATATATATATATATATATATATATATATATGTATGTATATTGAGTGGAAGAGAGAGAGAGAGAGATAAATAGATATAGATGGAAAGATTTAAATATATATACACACAAATTTATAATTAATAATTAGTATTTTTTTTTTTTGTAATTAATGCAAGTAGTTTTAAATATTATAATTTATGTAAACAGGTAATTTTTTGGTTTCTATTTTATTTTTTTCCTATTTAATTTTGTTTTAGGTTTTAGAAGAAATTCAAGTAGAAATAAATAAAAATAAGTCGTCAAAACTTCAAGATTTATCTTCTCGTTTTTTTACTCTAATACCGCATAATTTTGGTAGACAAAGGCCGCCAACAATTTCTGATCAAGAGACATTGCAAATGAAAATGGACATGCTTACGGTAAAAAGTTAAGTTTGCAATATGTCAAATGTTGTTCAAATTAATTATTTAATAATATTACTATATTGTTTATTTCAAGGTTCTTGGGGATATCGAAATCGCTCAAAGTCTGCAGAATGTTGTTGTGAAAAAGGAAGAGGTATTTATATTTTATTTCTTAATAATTCAAAACGCTTAAACAAACAAACTAGTTATGTTATTTCTACAAACTGGTGGTATCTAATGATTTTGGTATCATAAACCTATGGTATTGTATGTAGTTGCTACAACAAACTGGTGGTATTGTATGTAGTTGCTACCACAAACTGGTGGTATTGTATATAGTTGCTACCACAAGTTGATGTGGAACAATATTAGTCCCACAGCTCTTTAATGATTTTGACAAAAAATCTATGCATAAGATAAAAGATTTTTTATTGAAATTAAATACAACTGTTCAAATTATTTGTTTACAATCATTTGTGATAAAAATTGTTTTAAAAAAATTATGTTTAAATTTGTACAATTTTGAATTTTAATAATGTTATTTATTCTCTAGGTTGAAGATGACCATCCGCTAGATACAAACTATGGTCTTCTAAAATGTGACTTGAAGCATATTGATTGTAAATCTGATACTTTTAAAGTAAGTTTTTCTTATTAAAAAACTTATTATAACTGTTTGTCAATAAAAGTTTTAAAATTTTTAAACAATAATATTGATGTAGTAGCTATGTATAAAATAGAGTTTTAACCTTTTTTTTTCATGTTTAGTTTTTAAAGCTTTTTCATAAGTCCCTAGAATCTAAATTCTGAAATAAAATATGAGATTTAACAATCGGAAAAAAATGGACCATCAGAATGTCAAATGTAGAGTCAGGCAATAACCTATTGCTTTAAAATTTTGCCATGATTAATAAATTTTTAAACAAAACAATGCTGAAACTTTGAAAAATATTGTTTTTTATGATGTCTTCAGAACAACGATAAATTTTAAAATAGATTACCAATGAAAAAAAAAAGAAAAAAAAAAGAAGTTGAAAATCAATCCATAAGTATTAAATCAATTTAACTTCAAAAAATTCAGGTTTTTATGAAATAAAAAAATTCAGATTTTTATGAAATAAAAAATTTAGATTTTTATGAAATAAAAAATTCAGATTTTTATGATATAAAAAATTTAGATTTTATGAAATAAAAAATGGCAACAATGAAACAATACAGTTGACAATAATATAACAATAGTAAATAATTATGTTGTAGATAGGCGCATAAAGATTGGATTTTTAACCATAATTTATACTGTTAAGTTATAAATACTACTTACAACTTAGTAGACTAACCTTTAAATTTTTTAAAAAATGAAATCACTTCTAACCACTAATTAAGTTGATTTAACAGAAAACTAGGATGTAAAAGACCAATAAAGCAATTAATACAAGACTTAATAACCTAGAAAATGGTAAGTTTTATTCTGGACCTTGTCTAAAAGAGAAAGGGGCTCATAAGATGAACCAGCTCAAAAATAAAAACAGTGTTCCATACAAGGATGAAATGGAATTATAAAGGATGAAAAAGGATGAAATAAAATTTATAAAGGTATAGGACGGAATTAGGAGTAAGAAAATGTTGAGCATGAAAAAGAGTGGCAAGCTAAGTTGATGTATGATATAAGCCAAGTAGATGTGAACTTTGAAATGAAGTGTGTATATGGTTTCCATCAGAGGTCAGTAGTCAATGTACCTAAAAGACATAAATTAGAAGACTCAGTTGTAGGGGTTGTTATTCCGCAATATAGTAATGTTAACAATATTGCATATGATATTTAACTATCTGAAAATAATGGTGCATCAGGCAATCCAATATTTTGCCATAATAAAAAAAATATGTACAAATAGCAGCTGCTTAAGAAGGAGAAAACTATTGGGCAGAGTGAGGTTTGACTTAAAGTTGACAAGAAGCAATAAAATCTTCCAATACAAGTTTCCTGCTTGTCTAAATCCAGGAGATTGTAAAAGAAGCACAATATTTGGCAGAGAAACAAAAAACATCACCCCAAAGGCAATCACAAAGAAAATCACAAAAGGAGTCCCTTAGCTTAACCTTTAAGAGAGCAGACTTGGTTTGGAAAGGCATACGGTTGCACTCTAAACCTGGCCACGCATATAGTTTATTTTTTCAACTACCTACATATAACAATTTAACCACAGTTAAATTGTTATATGCATGTTTAGGAATAGAGTGTGATTGCATGCTTTTTGCTAATCATTTCTAAGATATAAATGATTAGCAAAAAGCATGCAATCTGTGAAATAAAGTGAATGAATGAAAGTTTTAAGAAGTGAAATGAATGGATGAATACATCAGGTAGAAGAAATTTAAGATTTTAATAAGGTCATAAAATGAACCACCAGATAAAACACTATTCAAGAAGTGAAAGTAAGAGATTTGAGTTGTCTGGAAAACAAGTTACAAAATTAAATATTTGAGTAAGAGATTCAGAAAAACAAAAAAATTTGAGTTCTGTGAACCAGCAGGGTCAGTGATACTCCAACCAACCCATTCAATATTAAAGTTATCAATAACTGCATTATTGGCTGAGGAATAATAAGAAAGGCTCATCCAATTTGATCAGAAACATTAAACAAAAGTAGATGAAAGAATAGTCAAAGGATTCAAATCTTTCACAATAAGTGAATTAATACATTTGTATACGATCATGTATGTGACTAATGAAGTTTTTTTTTAATTCCAACTGAAATAATGAAATTAAAGCAGAAACAGTTTTATTCAAGTTCTAAATAAAATAATTAAAATAAAAAAGGAAAAAGAAACATTTTACTTAAATTCTGAACAAATTAATATTAAAAAGCTACAACAAAATGAGTGTTTAATTTGAACTCAAAATAAAAAATTAAAGTAATAATCAAAAACCTTTTAATTAAATTCTAAAACTTTATTTAAATTGTAATTAAAACAATTAAAACAAAAAAGCATTTTAAAGTGTTTTAAAAAAAATTACAGCAAAAATAAAACTAATGTTTTATTTAAATTCAAAATCAAATAATTAAAATAAAAATAAGAAAATAATGGGAAAACAAAATTTTGTTTTTTAATTTATAAAATAATTAAATTAAAATGACTTTAAATTCATCTAAATTTACAGTTTATATTTAAATTTACAAACCCTTTCATCTAAATTCTAAATACAAACCTTTAATTTAAATTGTAAACAAAATAGTTAAAGTAAAAATGGAAAAATAGATATTTTATTAATTCTAAATAAAATAATTTAAATGAAATTGGCAAAGTTAATGTTTTATTTAAATTCCTAATAAAATTGCTGTGTTCGTTTTTCAAAATTTAAACCAAACTTCAACATTTTAAAGATAAGTTGGCAAACTCTGCATTTGGTTTTCTGTCAATTTTGTACTTAATGTTTCCACATTCATAGATTTATCGAAACCTGTTTCTAAGTTTTGTGCTGACCTGATGCGGACCTAGAACACTTTTAAGTCTACAATTCTATGCAAACCTTATTTTGTCTAATTTCAAGAACTGTCTAAGAAATTTCTACGCTTTTTTTTTAAACTATAAAAAAGATTTTTCAATTAAAAGGTCTATTAGATAATTGAATAGATAAACAAACTATCCAAAAAAAAATTTTCATTAATCTAAAAAACTTAATGTGTACACTAATTTTTTTTGGCTGTATACGTTATCAACATTGTTTAAATTTTATAAGTATATATTTAAAAATTTTATTTTATTATTTTGAATGAAAAAACCATCAAAAATCAAAACATAATATCTAAAGTGACATTTTTTTTAACAAACTTAAAAATCCTTAATAACCTAAACTTTTAAAGTTTGGAAAATTTTAAATAAAACGTAGCAACTGTAATTCCTAATATTTATTATATTTTTGCTACTTAACATTTTTACAACCAATAATTAAACATAACCAATAGTTAAACATAAATTGAGATGTGGCTTTATTTGTTGATGGCAGTAATATATTCTCCAGGCTTGACAAAAAGTCGTTAATTTTTGTTCGTTTAGAGTTAGCAGCTGATCTTAAATTTGATTTCTTTTCTGTGATAACTTGATGCTTGTAGTTTTTTTTTGAATTTTAGTAATTATTGCAATATTTTTGATATTCTTATATTGATGAATAGCAACTTTACTATATTTATAGTATAGTTGATTGTTTGGAACTATAGTAGCCACATTTACTTATAACTTTAAACTATATAGTAGTTGTAGTTACTTACAAGTTTGAAATGTATAGTAGTCATTGTTACTTATAAGTTTAAACTATATAGTTATCATAATTCCTATAGTTGAAACTATAATAGAAATAAAAGAAATTATAGTGAAGTTTGTAAAAAGAATAAATTATATAAATTAAATTAGACTAAATAAAGTACAATATTACTTGTTACAGTCCTATGGTTATGAAGCTTTTTTAAATTTTTTAATGTTACTTTTCTCTACTTTTTTTGCAACATTGACTTATTTGGTTTTAGATCATAAACAATTATATAGAACAAACTAAAAGCAGTTATGGAAATATTAAATTGCTTGATGTTTGGGAAGTTGATCGAATGGGCGAGGTTAGTATTTGTTATGAAGATCAAGTAGTCAATAAAAGGTTTGCTCTATATAAATTATAAAATAAATTTACTTTAACTTTCTAAAGGATTTTTTTATAGGATGAAAGATTTTCAGCTCACAATGATATCAAAAATCGAAAATTGTTATGGCATGGAACTAATGTAGCAGTTGTTGTTGCAATTTTAAAGAGTGGTTTGCGTATTATGCCTCATTCCGGTGGGAGAGTAGGTCGTGGAATATATTTTGCTTCTGAGCATGCAAAGTCTGCAGGATATGGTATATCAATTTTTATACTTTGTAAAATATGAAGTAAACTCATTAATAAAATTAATAAGTTGCTTTAATATTTAATATTAAATATTTAATAATAATTAATAAAATGCTTTCTCTAAGTAAATATGGTAGCAGAATGAGATTGCTAACAAACAAAAAAATTTTAGGCGCTAATATGCTACAGTTCAGCAAAATAGTATAAAATTTTTTATACTATTTTGACTTTCTTTTACTGAAAATTTAGTGAAATAAAAATGATATTATGATGTTATCAAATTAATTTTGGATGCGTACAATTTGATTAAAAGATTTTAAACCCAGAAATTTGCATTTCATATTAAAGTTTATAATTATTTCAATGTATTGATACAGATTCTGCGTTCTAGATTTTTATATAAACTCACTGAGGTCAATATTTAAACAAAGTTGAAAATACAATAGCAGAACAGCTATAATTTTTTTTAATTGAAAAATCATAACAATAAATATATTCAATGTTCATTGCCTTCATAACTTTGTCAGGAAAAACAATGCAAGAAGTCACAGCTTTAAATATGTCAAAGAAATCACTAAGCAAACATTTTGTGAAAACTTTTTATTTAATAGATCAGTCAATTTAAGGAATAACAAGTTGGTTAAAGTACAATCAGTTAACAGTTTTAATAACAAGTTTATTAAAGTACAATCAGTTAACAGTCTTGATTTCTGGATGAGCAGCAATCAAGCGAATCGGCTGGTATACCGGACTTTTTTTGAATACCGATACCGAACTCTCAATACCGGTATATACCGGTATTTCTCATTGAGAAATACCGGTATATACCGATGAGACTTTGTGCGTGTTTTGACACAGAGAAATCTGTATCTGTATCAAATAGTTATGAAATATGCTACTAAAATTCGAGTAAAGTGGAAGTCAATAATAAAAGAATTGTCTGAACTTCCATAGCAAGGAAATTGGTTTAGTCTTACATTTGACGAGTGGATTTAGGTAAAAAATAGACGTTATTTGAACATTAACGTTCATACTTGAAATAGATTTTGGAATTTGGGTTTAGCGAGAGTTAATGGTTATTTCCCAGCAGAAATGTGTGTTAAGTTAGTTAACAACATACTGAAAGAACAAAACCTAAATATTGATCGGGATATTGTATGTATTACTACAGATGGTACTTCCGTTATGAAGAATGTAGGACGATTAATGTCCATTGACCAGCAACTTTGTCAAACCCATGGAATCCAATTGGCTGTGGTTGACGTCTTGTATAAAACAACAACTGTAGAATTTACCGATGATTATATTGAATCTGATGAAGATAGTGCGGGTGAGATTTCCGATGACAATAATGAAGAGCATTTAAGGATTTTTCAGAACTCGCCAATTTCAAATGAACTTGCAAATAATTTGGCTCCATTGATAAGCAAAGTTAGAAAAGTTGTAAAGCTGTTCAGGCGATCGCCAACCAAAAATGAAATCCTTCAAGTTTATGTAAAAACTGAACATGGTAATGAACTGTCATTAATATTAGATAATAAGACCAGATAGAACAGCTTACTTTTTATGCTAGAGCGTTTTTATAAACTAAAAAATTCTATTCAAAAAGCCCTGATTGACTTGAACTCAACTATGTTTCTATGTTGTTACCAGTGAAATTGGCTGTAGAGGCTTTATGTCGGAGAGATGCTAACCTACTATCAGCTGATGCTACCCTGGCATTCATGCTGCAAAATTTAGGCGTAGGACCATTAAGTTAAAATATGAAAACCTCCTTGATTAAGAGAATAAAAGAAAGATGCACAAATTTATTTTATCTCATACAATATCTTCATAAAGGTGATCAAGCCCAGAATAATTTCAGAATAAGTTCAGATTTGATTGGCTAACTAAAACTGCTCTAGTTAATTTAATTGTGCATCTTATCCAGCGGCTCTCATCCGAGCAAACTGAAACTGCAGCATTCCCATCAGAAACAGATGAAGATGAAGATTCTATAATGTGTGAAGACAAACCTTTGAGCTTGAAATTACAGGAGCAGCTAGACATGGCCATAAATAATGAGATAAAAATGAAAACAGTACCAAAAACAAAGGAAAATATTAACAATTTGACTAAAATGGTGTGAAAAGAAGTTTCTATATTTGAGGAAGACGGTACACGTGGTACCAACTTGATGTTGGTATATGATTATATTTTAACTATTCCCCAACTAGCGTAGAAGCTGAACGGGCTTTCTCTTCATCAGGAATTTTATGTACAAAAATACGATCATCTTTAAATGACGAAACCTTAAATAATTTATGTTTTTTGCGGGCCTATTTTAGTAATAAATAACTATTTTATGTTTTTTGCTTGAAATTAATTAATCATATCTATTATTTTAACTTAAACAATAAAATTTTGGAATCGTTTAGCTGTTGCTTTGTGTTTTATTAAATGTTTTTTTAGTAATAGTAAATACTGGTTTTAATACCGGTATTTCGGTTTTCACTTAATCTAATACCGAAAAACCGGTATTCAATTTTTGGTCTGGTATTGGATGCCCTAAATACCACACTCACTGGCTCACACCAGTTACAGCTATTACTAATCCTAATATTTGTATTATCAGTGGCAGTTTAGTTCTGATACAATCTTGTTTCAGAAATTGGCTTGAAAAAAATGAAAAGTAACTTTTAAATGGTTATTAAAAGAAAATTTTTTGTTATTATTTAAACTTTTATTTTTGAATGAAAAAGAAAATAAAAAATATGTATAATAAAAAAAAAAGAATAACAAATAATATGCATCTAAAGACCCAAATTACTAATATATTTTGTGAACTTTAAATTTTCAGTAAAAGAAAAAAACAAAGAATAGTAAAAAAATTCAATACTAACTTAAAATGAAAATAAAAAAACTCCATTAGAAGTGATCTACTCAGAAAATTCTATTAGAAGTGATCTACTCAGAAAATTCTATTAGAAGTAATCTAATCAGAAAAATATATGTGATATTCTGATACTACAATTTAACTTACATCACTATTATTACTGTGGGGTTATTAAATAAGATTTCCACTAAAATCAGGTCATATCTCTGCAGCAAAACATATGATTAAGCTGATAATTTACAGAATATCAGTTTATTGCTTGTTGCAGATTATTAAGTAGCCAAACCCATTGATTTTTTTTTTTTTAACATCTTCACTTTCAACAAGGCTGCAAGCAACCACTATTAGGGTTGGAAGTTACTGGAAGTGAAAAAATGTCTTTTGGTTCTCAATGGCTGGTGAACTTAAACTCAGTTAAAACTCAATTATTTTTCAGCTAATCATTATTGCAACAATCTAGATCTTCTTACATTTATAAACGGTAATGTACTCAATTAGTTATCTACCCTTCATCTTCTAGGATTAACTCTTACTTCCAATCTTTCTTGGAAATTATATATCAAATCCAATTTCAAAATTAGCTTTTTTTTTTAATTCTCTATTCTATAAATCTTTTTTATAAATTTTTAAGTGCTTATATAGTTTCTATAAATCTCAAATCCGTCCTTGTACTGTTGCCATATCCGAAGCAGATTCTTGCAGCCTTGTTAGAAGCAAGGATGTAAGTGCAGAATAAAAACTTATCTTCCAATGTTCTTGTGAGTACTTTAAAAAAGGATTGTGTAATTTGCTTATATATATTGCAACATTTACATTCAAACTTTAAGATAAAAAAGTTTACTGTTTTACAATAATTTTTTTTTTTTTATCAAAATTGAATCTTTTGAACAATCATCAAAACACATTTTTAAACAACAGCTATTGATTATTAACTTATAATAAATTATTTTTTGAACATTTTAATTGTTTTATTCAATTTGTCTTTATTATTTTTTAGTTGGCACTGCACGTGATGGTACAGGTATTATGTTTTTAAATGAAGTAGCAATTGGAAAACAACATATTATTACTCAAGATGATTCTTCATTGAAAGCACCCCCAAAAGGGTATGATTCTGTTTTGGCAAAGGGAAGACAAGAGCCAGGTAATCTAAAAATAAACTTACAACTTTTTTATTTGCATTATTGGATACAATAATGGCAAATCAGATATAATGCCAAACAGATTTTTTATTTTGCTTTAAGATTGAAAAGATAAAGAATGAGATGCTCGAGTTTAAACTTGTCAAAATGTTTGATAAACCTGAGAAACATAAGCTATATTATGTTGATGTTTGATTAATGTGAAGCTTAACTGATTTCTGATACAATCTGATAAACAGATACAAATACTTAAGGTCAAAACCAAAAAGGAAATTTTGTCTTTTTCTTGAGACAGCTTTCACCTTGAGCCAATCTAACTTTCGCCACGAAACTGGTTTTAAATAATTTTTAACGCAATTTTAAATTTGTAACTAAATTTTTTTTAGTTTACTTATAAAAGTTTATGAAATTTGTCAGTGTTTTCTATTTTCTCACAATGTTTAGATTAAATTTGTTCTAAAGTTTGCTTAAATTACTAATAAAAATTTATGACATTTGTCAGTGTTTTTTATTTTTTCAAAATGTATCTTCACTAATGGTTGTATGCATGTGATTCAATCTTTTTTTTTTCAGATCCGAGCATGGATACTAGTTTAATAATAAATGGTAACACTGTGACAGTCCCCCAAGGAAAGCCAGTAGAAACTGATGCTCATAGCAGTTCATTTCATCAGAGTGAATACCTTATTTATAAAGAAAGTCAAAATAGAATTAGATATTTACTGAAAATGAAGTTTCACTGAAATTTCAAAACTTTTATATTTGAATAATTTCTTATGTTATTTGATTTTGAATTTTAATTTTTTTATTCTTGTTAGTTTTTTCTAAAGCACAATTGTTCAATAAATGTTTAAAGATAATTATTTGAAAAGGGTTGCATCAATTTTAAATATATTTTTGTTTTATAAATATAGTTGTTACAAAGTTTTGTACAAAACAGTTTTTTTTATATAGAAAGGTAGATAAAATTTAATGTCTATAAATACTAGAGTTGCCATAGTTACTATTGTTGTATAAATTTTTTTAAATTTCTTTAATAATTTTTTGTTTTTGTTTGAAATTTTATAAAATTTGATCAATGTATTTTTATTTGATTTTTTATTTATTATATATTTGTTCTTGTTATACTGTTGACTTCTTTTTTGGCGGTTTATAATTATTTTTTATAAATGTTAACAATTATAGTTATTTTTACAAATATTAATAATTATAATTATTTTTACAAATATTGCAATTGTTTTGTTGCATTTTTTTGAAAAATAATTGCATGCTGTTTTTGTTGACAAGCTTCTTTTAGTTTTTTAGGAACTCATTACAGAATTTCTTTATTTATGAGAATTTATCATAGAATTTTTTTAATTATAGAGTGTAACAAAATTTCTTTATTTTTGAGAATTAATCTTAGATTTTTTTAAATAATGGTAATGTATAATTTCAAATATTGATTTTATCTAGTAAGTATCATTTAATTCAGGATATTTATAGATTTTGAAAATGTATTTGTGAAAGTTAACTATTTAAATTGTCCCTCTTGTTTGTTCTGTAGAATGTTAAAAGTAGCTTTAGGCAAAGTAGACTTTTCACTTAAACATTTTGGTTGCACTTGTTCTGTTCGGAATATTATGAGGAGACCAAAAACAAAATTACCCGATCAATCTACTAAAGGTACAAAATTGAAGCGCTATGAAGTTCCTCCGCATAGAATTGGGGTTGTAAAAAGTTGGGATTCTATTCATACAGGTAATTTTTATTCATGATTTTTATTATGTATATTCAGTTCATACTTAACTATTATTTTGATTTTTTTAATAAAATACATGCAGGCAAACATTTAACTTAATATATTATCACAGACCACTTTTTGTTTTAGTAGATGAGTGAAGGCAGCCATTTGCTTTTTAGGGAAATTTTATTCTTAAGCTAAAATAGTCATGTTGTTTTTCTGTTAATTTTTATTGGTTAAAAAGAAAATTAAAAGTCAGCAAGCTTAAAAAAATTTTAGTTGTAAAGTTTCATAAAATTATAAATTATATATTAAAAAACTAGAATTAATATTATTGTAATAATAATGAAAGACAATAATTTATTTGTTTAAAAAACAAACAGTTTTTTAAACGAATAAATTATTAGATTTTAAAAAATTATTTTCTATAATTTTTAAAAATCTAGTCCTTTAAGGTTTAAAGTAGAAACATTGGATGCAGGCTTGGACATAAATGGCGTGCAATCGTACTCTGTAACAGACCACGCTAATTTTTTTTTTTTCTTTACAGCTTGACCATGGCTATTTTGATGTTTTAACAATTTAAATGCAGTAATAAAAAGTGTTACGTTATGAATAACTTTTAATCGTTGATCTTTTCAAAAGTTTTATATTTTGCAAAAGCTTTAAATAAAACCATAAAAAAATAATTATAATGATTGTTTACACAAATGTGTAAATTAATGTTATAATGTGTAAATTAATAAAAAATGTTTTATATAATTTTCAAGTAGGCATTGTTTTTTTGTAGTTTCAAGTAGGCATTGTTTATTTATTTTATTTTATTTTTATATTACTATACTATTATTATAAGTTTCAAGTAGGCATTGTTTATTTATATAATTTTCAAGTAGGCATGTATTTATTATAAATTTAAATGTTTTAAACTATTTTTCAATGTCTTCCTAAAAATCTTTTACACCATTATTTTTAGAAAGAATTTTTTAAATAAGTTCAAGACCTTTTGTGACTGCTTTTACACATTTTATGTAAATTATACAAGAATATAAAATAACTTCATTTACTTATATCTTGTTGGTTAATGAAAAAGTTATGAAGCAATTTGTAATTTTCATACAATTAATTTTTATCATTAAACTTACGTTTTTTAAAATCTTTTAAACAAACCTTTCATTCATTCCTTTTAAAGGAATGAATGAGTTTTATACTAATCTTTTTCAAATCTTTTATAGTAATTTTTAAATTCCTTACTTAAAGCGCTTATTAATATAGTTTTTAATTTAAGTTGCTTGTTGGCAGTTTATTTTATTTAAACCGCAGGCGCATTTCATTTATTTATTTTTTCCTATTTTTACAAATAAAAAAGTCGAAAACCTTTTTTTTTAACTAGACTTATTAATGAATGAAATTATTAAAAATTACTATTTTAAAAAGACTACATTATTTTTTTTGAATAGTTTTTTTTTTTTTTTTTTGCAACCTTATTAATAAATTTGATAAAATTTGTTAATTTATTAAACAATTTTTAGTACTAATTTGTTACCTAATTTAAAAGCATTTTGCGTATCTTGAATAAAACGTTTGAAAAGATAAGTTTTAACATTTATTATAAATGTTAAAACTTATCTGTTAATAACATTTATAATAATAATAACTTAAATAACATTTAAGTTATTAAATGTTATTTAAGTTATTATTATTATAAATATATATAATAATAATAACTTAAAAATAATAATAATAACATTTAAGCTATTATTATTATAAATGTTATTAACAGATAAGTTTTAACATTTATAATAATAATAACATTTATTTCATTTTAAAAACGTTACAAAAAAAATCGCTTAGAGTTTAATTTTTTATTTTTTATTTTCAAGTGCTTATATAATTTCTTTTTCATAAGGAATTTTTTTTTTTTGTTCCTTTTTTTGTTTTGATTTTTTTTTTTTAACTTTTTTCTTAGTTTAAGTTTAGCTTAGTGTTTTTACATTCAACACATTTCTGAAATGTTTTAATCATCAAAACATATAAACAATCGTGGTCAAGTTGTCAAAAAATAAAGTCATTTGCGTGGTCAGTAATAGCGCTTGATCGCACGGCATTCCTGTCCAAACCTGTGGATGTGTTTCTTTTTTAAAATTAATGTTTAAAAAACAGAATTTAATAAAAAAAAACTATTTTTTGAGGCTGTATTTAATAGTTTTTACTTACTTTTTTTTTTAAATATGTTCACTATTTTTAGTCCTGGTGATTTGTGTAGTCAAGGAAGTTATTTTCTTTTTTTGGTTTATTATTTGCTATACCAATATAAGCACTGCTATAAGAACTCGGAAAAATAAGGTTGCTAAGCATAAAAAAAAAAGTTAATATTAGTAACCCCTGATGGATTTTCAATTTTTTCCTGTTTTTCTGTTTTTTGGCATGTATTTAGGGAATTACCTTGTTTTTCAAGCTAACTTTCTTAATATATATTTTTTAAAATATGTTTAGAATTTGTGGATTTATAAGGCAACATAATTAAACACATAAAAAAAAATATTTCGAAATAATTTGTCTTTTATTATTATCTTTTTTTCGAAATAAATAAATGGGTACCCTGCTTACTGTTCCTCATTTTGTCTGCCAGGATAAAAGTTTTGTCACTCAAACAAATTATGGTTTAATATAACACTTAGGACCATAAAAGTTGTTTCCAATTGTTATTAAAATCAAAATGACCGTGGCACATAGCTTTTTTAAATTTTTCTTGGCTATTTTAAAAGACTGAAATAGTATGGGAAATAGAGGCTACTCTGGTCTGCATAAAAGTGGAGGCAACCAACCATCAGAGATATTTCAGAAAAAATAAACAATAGTTGGTTGCCTCTTTTAACTATGCATCAAAAGTGGGAGGAACAAAAAGTCTACCATCATTTTCAAAGCTGAAATCACAATTTAAAAGAGTATTAGCTTTTATTTCTTTATTATTTTAATTGTCATTTTTTTACCAAGTAATAATATAGTCAAACCATAAATATAAAGTTCTATTTTTTCAATTAAAAAAGAAAAAAAACACACATTAGGTTATTCTACTTCCTTCAAAATGTTAAACAGCTGCTAAAAGTTTATCGCTATGCTTTGAATGTCCTTCACTTCTTTTATATCTAGACCAGATTGGTTTAAACGTGACATGTATTGCTTCACAACATTGTTCAGCATATCTTCCTAAACTGCATCTATGATACTTGACAAATGGAACTACATGGCACAAAATAGTATGAACTTTCAAAGTCAAACTTAGATCTAAGTCAAAAGATTAAAGCTAGCTCTGGTGTAGAGATAAAGTTCTTTAGCTTAGAAATAGATTCTTCAAATCCAGTTTCTAAAGTTTTACCAAAGCAAGTATCTTAAAAGATCTGATGTTTTTAAGACACTCAATAAAGGGAGTGAGATGATAATGAGTGCTTTTAATGACAAGCTCTAATTCATCAAGGTTTTTAATGATAGCATTTGAGTTGTTGCCATCCCAACCTCTTTATTTAAAAAAAAGAAATTAATAAATATTATCTTTACCTTTAATATCTTTTCTCCCCAAGCCATTCTTGGATATTTTCCAGACTTGAGCAAATACAGATTTCTACAACAACTTGAACATATATTTGTTGGAAAATCTTCTATTAGTTTGGAATATCCATGAAACACATAAACTCTTCCAAAATGTATAGATTAACAAATTGTATAGATTTTGAGTTTATTCCAAATTGCTCCCAACAAGAACAACTAACTTGTTGTAGACGCACTGATGGAGTTGACATATATAAATTTATATATGGAGTTGACTTATATAAAAGTATAAAGTAGATATTTTTTTATATCTAAAGGTTTATTTTCAATCAAATAAGGATAGCATTTTATATAAAGCTAAGGGTATATAAGGATAGTCATGCATGTCACATAAAATATAGCACTTGTTTAATGTATTCTACTTAAATAAAAAACATAAAATAGTCAAATAAAAAATGTCATTTATAAAAAAATAATATTAAAAAATACATATGAGATAAAAAAAATTGAACTTTGCAGCAGCTTAAGAAAGATATCTTTCTCGATCGTTGATTTATTTAGATTTTTCTATTTATATTAGTTTTAGATAAATAACATAAAATGTAAATACTCTAACGAAAATTTTGTAAAACAAAACCTTTTTTCAAAACATTTTTTACAATGTGGCGCAAAGTTATAATATTTAAAAATGGCGCAAATAATGAACTTCAAAAATGACATATATATATATATATATATAACTTGTTTCTCTGCGCACCAGCCTTGATCATCAAGGTTCGTGCTTCAGAATTATAGAGTTGAGAGAGGGTTTATAATCACAATTAAGTAGCCTCCTTGTCTGTAGTGGCCTTCTCAACCTTGAGGAGGTGAATTTTAAATATATATATATATATATATATATATATATATATATATATATATATATATATATATATATATATATATATATATATATATATATATATATATATATATATAGAATTAAAAATGTTATATACATAAAAATATAAGTTCAATAAGAACAAAACAAACTATACAAAAATAATAATAATAATTAAAGTACCTTTGATTATTCTGTGATAACAATCACAGAATAATTAAATATACTTTAAAGGCCATAATTTAGTTTTTTATTTACTTAGGAAGAGGAAAGATATAAAACTCTATTATCTCTTTATTTGAAAGTCTTTTTTTTAATTCTACAAACTATTTTTTTTCATTTAATTATGCAATAATAAAAATTTTAACTACAATAAAATTATATTAACTGTAATTATCATATTTAAACTGAACTTTTATGACAAGTTTTGAAAACTAATTAATAATTAAAAAACTAGATAAAATAATCGTGTTTTGCATAAATTTCTAGAAATAAAGAATAGAAAAAACAAAAATTAAAGTGATTTTCTGTGGTTTAAGAATGGATTTGATAATTGAATGTTAAAATATTTATGTAAACCATTTTTAAAAAGATATGAAATGTATCACAATGATAAAGACTTTTATCTTTTCCATCTGGTGTAAGAAGATTACTGTTGCAACTAAAACTAACTAAAAAAAAAGTTGCATTAAGATGTTAAGCTTTATTAAGCACACTCTGCACAGATGTTTACAATTGTACTCTCTGTACAGATGTTTACAATTAATTCACAGCTCAGGAATATATTTGAGCAATTTTAATAATTTCTCAACTAAGTTTATTAAAAAGTTTAGATTAAACTTGCCAAATAAATTGACATTTAAATTAAACTATTGTAAAACTATTTAATGTCTTTTAATTTTATTATTACATACATCATTATCTTTTGAAGAAACAAAAGATAAAAAAATATTAATTTATTTTATCAAATCTTAAGATTTATGAAAATAACAATTTCAACTTGAAACATATCTGTTATAAATAACAAGTATACCTGACGCGATAATACCATATCTGTTGTAAAGACTACTTACATTCATTTGAAATTAGAATATTACTGTTTAAGAATATACTATCAATAATTATATATGCGGTAGTGGTGTAGTGGTAGAGCGCTCGCTTCATAAACGAGTGGTTCCGAGTTGGATCCCCACCACGTACCTGGTAGTACCGCGCTCAACTCGTTTCTCCGCGCAGCGGCCTTGTTTGTCAAGGTTCGTGTTTCGGAGTTATAGAGTTGAGAGAGGGTTATAACCACAAATAAGTAGCCTCCTCGTGTGTAGTAGCCTTCTCGGCCTTGAGGAGGTGAATTAAAATTTAAAAAAAAAAAAAAAAAAGTGCTTTTTTTTGTATTAAATTTGTAAATACAAATTGAGAAGAAAAATTTTACCACCTTTAACACACGTGTAATTGTATAAGCTGTTGATATATATTAGATTTCTATAAATTCACTTTTGAAAAACATTTTTGTTTTAATACCATTATATTTAACTTCACTCATCAAACAAATATTTCTCTGCTTAACTATCTTTAAACAAAAAATTTTGTGCAAGCTGACAACGAAATCACTTCATAAAACAAAAAAGATTTACTCAAGTTGCAAAAGCAAAAATAGCATTGCAATAACAAACAAAAAAGTTGCAATAACAAACAAGAGATGCTTTACTGAATAAACTCAATATAGGTAGATTTTTTATACTTTTTTAATTGCAACATTAGAAAGAAATTTTTTTGTGATTTTCCATGACTAGTTGCAAAGAACTCTGCAAATACGCCATTGCCAAATATGCCATAAATTTTTTTGAACTCTGCAAATATGCCAAATATGCCATAAATTTTTTTGAAGTTTTTGTACTGTGCAGCTGACCCATCACCAAAATAAGTTCATTAGACAAACTAAATTTTAAGTTCAGCTATCAGTTTACCATGAAAAACATGAACAGAAATTGTATCATGATGCACGCAGTTACTTATAACGCAATAACATTTATTATTCTGTTTGTTATATACATCAAAAAGGTTGCTTGGCTGTTTTTCCAGTAAATTCCCTGAACAAATTCCCTGAGCATCTTGAACAACAAAGAATTAATTTTTAGAAAAACCTATTAAAACTATTAACTCATTTTAACAAGGTTCTTTTTTCAATAATAGCATATAGTTGGTTTTGTTTTTGGCAATAAAATGATGCTGAGCTACTACTAGCACCTTTAAAACCATCATTTTTGAAGTCCTCTACTGGTAATTGTATGGATTTAAGAATTTCAGGATCTGTTTTTATCCATCATTTAAAAGTTACAGTTTCATCTAATACAAAGTCTTTATACTGCTCTTCAAGATGAGTCTTTAGCATTTCAGTTCCTGGACATTTACCACAATTGTGAAGCATACATTCTCTAGATTAATATTACAAACGATTTTTTCAATCAAACATTTATAGTCCACTGTAACTTGGTTACTTGCAAGTATTAACTTTATGTTTGGTGAATAGAACATACACTAATACAATGGGTGCCTGAAGAACTAATAGTTAACATCATTTTGGAGGTAACTCACATAATTTAAAAAACTCAACTTTAGTTCCATTTTCTATCTTACACTCTGCGAAAAAATCCCTTTAATAAACTAATAGTAATTTTTTCTACATATGCAATTTTTTAGCATCAATGCGGACAGATTTTTTAGCACCAATACAGACAGATACATAGTCTTTTTTAACTGTTTATAAGTTCTTATATTATGAGCTCATAAAATTTCAAAATTTTTTCTTTAACACTTTCTAGCGGTTTCTTTGCAGCATTTCTTTGTAGTTGATTCGTTTGTTTTTTTTTAACTTTGTTGCTGTCCTTGCCATTCTCTCTGATACTCTAAATTCATTACATATTTTAATTCTTGACCAACTGTTAGGAATAAAAGTTGTAATTTGACTTTTTTCACATGGATTACTAAGTGTTAAAACTTTTTTCTTTAACTTTAATATCAAATTTAAAAAGTCAATGTAATAAAGGCACTGCTTAGTGGTAGGTAGTAGTGGTAGGACTTTATTTGGTGATAAGCCACTGACAGATGCATTTTTTTTTTAAGCAACATCTGTTTGGAGTTTTCAAATTTTTGATATCTGAAAATGGCTTTTTTTGTGATAAATGAAACTTTTGAATTTACTTTAAAGAGACTTGTCCAGAGAATAAAAATATACGTACTTACTAAAATTATCTATACACAAAAATATTTATTCAACTGACCACAATATCAATTTCAAAATATCATCGCAAATCTAACTTTACTTATATAACTCTTTTTTTTTTTTCATTCATAATATAAATCTATCCAAAATGATTTTTTTGGTTTTTAGTAAAATAAGTTTTTTCTAATGATCCAATCTAAAAAATAAAATTATAAACACAAAGTTTTAGTTGTTCAAATACATCTCATTTTGTGGTGTTTCATTTTTGGTGCCATATTTATTTTATAATAACACAGCATGTTTACAAATGAGCTGAATTTTGTTTCATAGTATGTGAAAACTTCAGAAAAAATAAAAATACTTAAAATGTTTTTTTTTTAGAGATATGGCTCTACAAAAAAATTATAAAAAAAATTTGGTGTCTAAGTTTTGACTAAAGTTGGGGACCATAGATAAAAATGCATTGTGCATTTTTTAACAGCTGTTTTATCATAATTTCAATAGGATTTAATATGTTTTTATTTTTATCGTTGACTGAAATGACTATTTTCTAATTTTTTAAATTTTAATTATGAGATATAAAGTTTAAGTTGATAACAAGTAAAATTACTAACCCCCCCTCCCCTTTTTATTTTTTATTTTTTATTAACTACTCGAGAGCACAAAACTATAACAAGTTAGCTGTTATAAAATGCATAGTCACATGTCTATTAACTAGAATTAAATTTTACTAATTAAATTACAAGTTGTAATGTATAAAAGCCTAATTTAGGAGATTTTGATTATAGAACCATTATAGGAGCTATTAAATTTTTTTATAAAAAATACTTTAAAATGTAATTATGTTTTGTTTTTATTATTATTATTTTTTATTTGATTTTTATAACTGTTTTAAAAGTTGTTTATTTCTTTGTTTTTATATTGGGGGAATTCATCAATTTCTATTTTTAAATAAATTTATTTTATTTTTTTCTAGGAGGTTTAAAAGGGAGTTACTGGGCAGCCGAACGACTTGCAGATGACATAATGATTCGTAACTTTATTGAAGGAACATTTTACGAACGTATAACAAGTGATGTAATAATCAAAAGACGTCTTAACACAATCATCATATGTTTTTTTGTAAGTGGCCGTGAAACGAATACAGCAAAGCTTTACTTTTTGAAAGGTTTCTGCGAAAAACTTTTAGAAAAAATGATGGGCTGCCTTATAAAAATAGAGTTATGGACAGGTCCAGAATTTGTGTAGATCCTGTTTCCCGGATCGTTAAATATTCATTGAAGAATATACTGAAAGAAAAAACATGTCAGTTCCAAAAATATTAAATAATGGAATGAAAAAAGGTCAATAGTGTCAAATTTTTTAGTGTTTTAAATTTAAAATTAATTGTATAGCAAACATTTAGTTAATAATAAACTTTTGAAATGTAGATGCAATATAATATTTAATTTTTTTTTTTTTTTTAGTAAAAGATTGCTTTCTTTTAATGTATAATTCAAAACAAGCCTGCTTTCTTTAAACCTACGGTTTAATATATTGCACTCAAAGATTGCCCATAAATAACGAAACGCTAAATTTCACTAATAAACAAAACAAAGAAAATCCTCCTACTTCTGTTTTTCAAATAAATTTAGCGTTGCATAATTTATGGACTATCCCCTAGTAGATAATCTAATAACTTTCTGGTCAGATAAAATTAGTAATAACTTGTGAAATCAAAAACGATTTGATTTTTTTATAATAATGTTTATTGTTTCACCTGAAATTTTTTATCAATTTGTTCCTTGACGCACTTTTAGTAACAGGCCGTGATGCGCAAAATTTAGAAAAAAATGTTGGGGACGATATTAATTTCTATATGGACGCGAAAGACTAAAAAAGCTTGTTTGATTCTTTTAAGTTTCTACTTCTGTCTGTTAAAAAAATGCTGTGTTTATAGTTGCTCTACGAAGTTACAGAAGAAAGAGTCAAACGAATTTAAAATGTCAGTTTATAGATTTCCAATTGACAAAGAAGAGAAAACACGTTTAATAAAATGCGTCCCTAATCCAAATTTAAAAATGACAAAGCTACACTGTAGTCTGAACTACGCTGGCCCAAAAATGTTGAAAAAATTAAAAAGGCTAAGAAAATTGCTATTAAAAAAACAGCATAAGGTTGCCAGCTCAAAAATCTGGTTCTAAATCTTTTCTTCTTCTTTTATCTTTTTTGTGTTAACGCTATCAATAGTTGTGTTTGTCTTTGGAAGCGCTTCCAGGTGATAAAATCGGAAATGTGCTAAAAGGTTTTTTATGTGAAGACAGAATTATTGATATGCTATGCGTCCATTACGAGCGAGGCTTGGGTTTAAATTTAGTTTTCTGCAAAAACATAAAACTTTATCTGCAGATAAAAATATGAAGGTATTTCCAACAGACTTTACTGTTTTCTTTTACACTGCACTACTGAAAACTTTCTCTTTTTTTCGCATCTAGTGGAAAATCTATGCTAATTTGTTTCGGGCCATTTTTAACTAAAAGCTTCATAATAATTTTTCTCTATTTATTGGTAAGTTTCTAGAAAACCCTGGACCTGAGAAATTAACCTTCACTCTTTTATCAGTTATTTCAAGCAAGTTACATTGAGCACCATTTTTAACTTCAATCATACCTTGTGCAATTTTTGTTGTTTACTTTTGTTGTTTACTATTAAACTCGTTATTGCCTGGCCGGCCTATTCTATTCTGAGATGATGTAATGATGATAATTATATGATAAGGTAAAAAATGTAATAAGAATTATGTAATATGGTAAATAATGTAAATGTTATTTATGATTGAGTTATAATCACAAACTGATCAAGTCAAATAAAAAATGACAGGATGCACAGCATTGATCAGATTAAATTTGCTGATGCTATTTTGATTGACTTGTTAAACATTTGACTTTATTCCGCATCAACTTCAGATTAATTAATTATTTAGAATAGAATGTAGTTCGGGTACAGTATTGTGGTTTAACAACTATTTATTTAGTACGAAGAAGAAAGTTATTCAGAAGAATCAAATAATTTAATGGATGCCAGTGTCTAGCGGACTTCCTCAAGGAAGTTTACTTAGTCCCAAAATTTTTAATATTTATGTTAGAGATCTTCCGAATGCCTCCAAAATCTTTAGCTGACAATATCACACACTTGATTTTAACCCGTACGAAGATTGATTTTAACCCGTACGAACTAATAACTAAATTGTTATACATATTCAATAATACTAAAGAATTCTTAAAATCTCATTGTCTCACAATATGTTTATATAAGACACAATTTATAACTTTCAAAAGTCCTGATAAAGAAACTGCCTGATGATCTATTGGTGGTGGTAGTAACTAAACCCGTCATGTTTTTGAAATGGCTTGTAGTAACCCTCGATTGGCATCTTACTTTTGTTTCACAAATAGAAAATGTAAAAAATGTGTGAAGTTAACAAAGGAGTTCTTTCAAGAGCTAGTCATTACGTATCATGTGACCTTTTAAGGCTTATATATCTTTAGTAAGATCTCAGCTGGAACATTGCAGCGCAACTTTCCTATATGCCGCTCCAAATTGAAATTTTTATTATTATTATAGTTGTAGCCGTAAAGTATACATACCATATATACATACAGCGAGCAGGGAAAACACCCTACTATAAACAACCAGTTTTATAAATATTCGTTTCGAATTTTATCATCAACTAGTGATCTAATCTAATTTTAAAAGAAAGTACAGCTGAGTATAAAGTTACTTGTTCGGGTAGTTCATTTCAATATTTTGCTGATCTATGATATAGTTGGTTGTGTCTTGGAAGACAGTTTGGAATTAAAACTGGACTCGTTAAATGATCCACTTCTTTTTCAAAACACAAGTTTTAGTTGTTTTTTTTTTAATTGTGTTGGCAAAAAAACTTTTTCTTAAATTTAATAATAACTTAATGTTAAGTTATTATTAAATTTAAGAAGAAAAGTGAATACTGTCAATTTCCTACTTTTATTTGGTAAAGGCGTAAAACGGTTTTTATTGCTCAACATATTAGGTGTCTAATAAAAGTACAAACTCATTTACTCAATGGGGCATATAAAACAAAGGGAGATAATTCAAAGAAACCCGGTATTTTATTTTGAGATTCAATGTTATTAAATATTTTTCGGACTGTTCGGAAACATTCTGTAAAACATTTGTATACATTTACTATTTATTTTAATCAGTCAGTTTTACATGCTTCGCTTTTCTTTTTTAGTTAAATATTATAACATTTCTTAATTTTATTATAAAATATGAAAATAATACAATTTTAGACTAAAAAATAAAAATTTTAGATTATAAGAACAAAAGTTAAAAGTTGTATGAAAAAAGACAACCTTCATAAAAACTTTCAAGTTGTGTAAAAGTCTTTTGCTTATTTGTTGAAAAGTTACTGCATGTAGATTATTAAAGTTTATGGAATATTGTTTTTATTGCTATTTTTTCCTATTGTATGAGATGTAAACATTAATAACATTTTACTTATCATACATTTTAACTGTTGTTACTCAGTAACAACAGTTAACTTACAGTTAATTATTAACTGTAAGTTAACTGTTGTTACTGAGTAACAACAGTTAAAATGTATGATAAGTAAAATGTTATTAATGTTTACATCTCATACAATAGGAAAAAATAGCAATAAAAACAATATTCCATAAACTTTAATAATCTACATGCAGTAACTTTTCAACAAATAAGCAAAAGACTTTTACACAACTTGAAAGTTTTTATGAAGGTTGTCTTTTTTCATACAACTTTTAACTTTTGTTCTTATAATCTAAAATTTTTATTTTTTAGTCTAAAATTGTATTATTTTCATATTTTATAATAAAATTAAGAAATGTTATACTATTAACTATTAACTGAGTTAATAGTTAATAGTATAACTTACTGTCATTATTACTTACTATTGTTTAAATATTTGTTTTTAATAATCATCATCATCAATGATGATGATAATTATTATGACATCATCATCATCATCATCATCATCATCATCATCATCATCATCATCATCATCATCATCATCATCATCATCATCATCATCATTCACCATTATCATCATTTTTATAATAACAGTTATTATTAAACAGTATATATTGACAATATATATTAGCAATATTATAACAATATACATTAACAATAATTGGTATTGTTATTGTTAATCTTATTATTACTAAAACCATTATTATCATTGCTATGATTTATCTATAAATTATATTTAATATTATTGTTGTTATTATTAGGATTTTCCATTTTTATTTTACTTTAATGATTATTTCCAAATTTCTAGTTTAGATGAATAAAAGATAAATAAAAGATAGAGCCTTTAAAACAAAAACAGTAGTTTTATAAGTAGTTCTTATAACTTCTTGAGTTCGCCATGGTTTTTACATAACATTGGTTATGAGTTGGTTTGATACAAAAACATTCTCTAATTATGCTAAAACTGCTCTAAAACAAGCTCAAAAGAATATTGACAAAGTACTAGATATAAAAGATGAAGTAGTCACAGATTCTCTGATTTCTATTCCAAGTATGTTTAAAATAAAATTATCTCTTCAAAAGTGCATGCAACACTTGATATATACATGCAACATATACATTTGTATTACAAAGAAAAACAAAATACAATTAATAGGGAAAAATAATACTTATATATTAAGTTATTAACAGGTTTACAATTTTTTCTATTTTTTAGATGGATAAACAGGTTTTAACCTTCAAAATTAGTAAACCAGTATTGTTTATTTGCTTTAAATTAGGCAGTTGTTTTAAAAATCCTAAAGTTTTAGCAAAGTTTTTTTTGTTCATAAAAAATTTAAAACAAGATTATTTAGTTAAGTTTATAAAAACTCAAAAAAATATTTTATTGATAAATTTAACAGATTTTTTAATTAGTTCACTTAAAAATATTATATTTAGTATAATATTAAATAATTTTTAAGTTATTACATGGTTATATGGTTGTTTACTCTATGAGGCTATAGCAGCACTGCTAAATCAAGTTCAACTACTTACAAAACTTTATATCCTCTCTCTCTCTCTCTCTCTCTCTCTCTCTATATATATATATATATATATATATATATATATATATATATATATATATATATATATATATATATATATATATATATATATATATATATATATATATATATATATATATATATATATATATACATATATACTTATATATACAGGCTTGGCCATTAAGGCGTGCGATTTCAAGTCTTTATATGACCATGCAAATAATTTTTTTTTTGATGATTTAATCAATTTTTAACAAATGCACTAAAAAATTGTTTTAATAATGTTGAAAATAAATAACTTTGAAAGGTTTATCTTTACTAGCATTTTTATATTAGCAAAACACTCTTAAATAATGTAGCTTTTTTTTTTTTTTTTTAACATATGTTATCAATAATTCAGAATTCGCTTCAAAATTCACTTTCTTCATCAGTAATATGAAGGAATTCCGAAAAACTGATGTTCGAGTAAAAAAACTAGAGCAATAAGAGTTTTTGGAGCATTTAGGAACAGTCACAGAAAAAAGAAGAGGCTTAATTGAATGACAAGTAACACGAGAATGAATTTTAGTAGATGGCACAAGAGATGTTAGCTCTTTAGAGTGCCCATCATAGTATTTGTTGAAAAGAGAAAGAGAAGCAATATTGCAAGAATGTGATAATAATTGAAGGTTGGCTGCAAGAGCAGGTCCAACTTTGTTTACAATACGTTTTTGCACCTTGTCTAAAAGTGAAAGGGTATCATTAGAAGATGCGCGATGCATAAGTACGGCGTGATTTTTGATGTTATTAAATTCTTTTTATTTGCTTTTCATATTTTTCGACATTAACTGCACCAATTTACTTAATTACCGCAAAACTACTATAAATCATTAATGTAGAAATGTTATTATTTAAAAATGTTTTGGAATGTTTCGTTTTTTAAAATGTAAAAACATTTGCTTATTTTCTCGACGTTTAACACGTTTTGTCTATACTAAACAAATAAAAAACATAACTAAAATTTAAAAAAGATTATAAAATATGCTAATATTTGATTTTTTTTTTTTCAAATATGTAATTTAAAGTTTTTCAAATAATTATTTTTTCTTTTTAAACAGTCAGCAAGTAATAAACTGGAAATTTTAATATTGTACGATTAAAAACTGTGCAATAGCTAATATTTTTACCAGCGATTTTATATAATATTTATTTATTTATTTTTATTTATTTTCATAAAGCGGTTGATAAGCACAATCACTCGTATTAATTAAAAACTTAAATGAACGTTTTGAATAGATTTTTAATGTTAACAAGGAATTTTATTTATAGTAAAATAAAATAAAATGTTAGAATAAAAATCTTATAAGTATAAAAGAAATATTTCAGCGAAAAAATTATTCTTAAAACTTATGATGTTCTATTTTTCAGCAGCTTGAGTTCTTGAGCACGCTTCGTTAAGTTTCAGTAACTTTTAACATAAAAGCGATCGTTATTATTTAAGTAATTTTTTTGAGTTACTTTTTACAAAAATTTTAATAACTGTATTTTTTAATTGAATCAAGTAGAATACGTTTTAATATTAATGCTTTTATTTTTTTTTATTTGCGCTCATCTGAGGTGAGGGCGGATCTTCTCACCAATTTTTAAAATGTTTCCTCGAAATTACTCTTAAATACTTTAAATACGTCTAACAGTTAATAAATATTTTTAAATCTATGGAATAATTTTAAAACCTAACGAACCCCCGTAAAATAATTATTTAAGTTAAAAATCTAAAACTAAAAGAAAGTATTTTTTGTTTAATTTTATCGACAACTTTGCTATTGCTGAATAATTTTATTAAAATGTTAGCTTAAAAGATTTAGTCTTTTTTTTTAATCTGAATTTTTTCTACTTGTAAATAATAAGCATATTTAATTTTTTTAAATTCAAATTTTTATATCAACTGCGTGCGGTTTTTAAAATACTTTATTAAATGTTAAAATAATTGTAAATTACTTCATTAAAATTCCGCTCAAAAATATCTTTAAATATACTCAAACAAAAATTTTTTTGCTCGATGCAAATAGCCCTAGCTACACGCAAAATCGCTCTTGGACGATGTAAAATTCACATCGCCCGACGCTTTATCGCAAGGCCTGTATTCCATACAAGGCCGGATTTGAGATTTATAGAGATATTTAGATCTTCCAATATTTATTACCGGTAATGTACTCATTGAGTACATTACCGGTAATAAATATTGTAAGATCTAAATTATTGCAATAACGATTGGCCAAAAAACTTTATCAAAAACTTTAGGAATATCAAGAGCGATAGCCTTAACCTCTCCACATCTATCTAATGCACCATAAAACCTATTAGTTATTACCATTAGCGAATCAGCTGTGAAACAAAAAGATTGAAATCCATATTGATGATCAGAAAGTAAATTATCAGATTCAAGAGAGATTAAGTGCTTGTTAATTAAAGATTCCAAAGCCTTGCTTATGATAGGAAGAAGATTAATAGGACAGAAGTTAAACAAATCAGATTGCTCGCCAGAGTTTTTGAAAATAAGGATAACAAATGCCGCTTTCCAGCAGGCTGGAAAACAAGACTTTGATAAGCACTTGTTGAATAGTTTTGAAAGTATAGAAGACAGCTTCTGAGAACACTTCTGCAAGTCTATAACAGGTATGTTGTCGGGACCACAAGCTGTAGAAGAGTCTAAGCAGAAAATCACTTTAGATACAGATGCTGGAATAATACGAATGTCAAGCAATGGATCAACCTGTTAGACAACTAAATCAGGTAGAATGCAACTAGTGGAATCAAGAGGCGATATTGATGCAACGTTTTTAGCAAACAATTTTGCTTTGTCGACTTAGCAAACTTTGTAGACTTTTGTTCTTAGCAAACAATTTTGTTTTGGTGAGGTGGCAAAGTCTGAACCATACAAGTGAGGTGGAATAACAGATTTGCCCTTATTGATACTGTTAAAGATTCTCCAGAAGTCAGGAGAGCTTAATTTTTGTGATGAAATATGAGATTTCATGACCTAAGAATAACAGGCTTTGGTGTTAGACAAAACCTTTTTACAATGGTTTCCAGCAGGAGAATTGTTTTGCTGATAGATATGGAAGTAACGGTTTTGATTGGAAATTACAGCAGCTCAATGTGAGGAAAACCATGAAGAAGAGTGAGGTTTGACCTGGAGTTATCGAGAAGAAATTAAAGATTCCATGCCAGCCTGAATCCACAAAGTTAAGTAAGAAGCACATTTGTCAGCAGGAAGATGAAAGATTTCTACCTAAGGGCCATCACAAAGAAAATCACAGAAAGAATCCCAGTCAGCTTTAAGGTAGTTGTAAGAGGCGCAATGATAGGGGGATTCAGATGGTGAAGAAGAATGTGATAATAGTTTTAAAGAGATAAAAACGTTATCAGAAGTACCTAATGGTGAATATGGAGAAACTGAGCACTGACTAGGATTGGAAACAAGGCATAAGTCAAGTAGAGAAGGTAAATGATTCGGGTTGTCTGGAAAGCGAGTTGGAAAGTTGACTATTTGAGTTAGAGATTGAGAAAGGCAAAAGTGTGGGCTTTAACGCCTGCAGATTCACTAACACTAAAGCCATGCCATTCAGTGTGATGAGCATTAAAGTCACCAACAACAACGATATTGGCTGATGGATAAAAAGAGAGGGCTCGGTTAATATGATCAGAAATAACATCGAAAAGAGTGTACTCTTGAGATGAAGGAGAGGGATACAGAACAAAGAAAAATATGATAGAATGAAGTGGTGCTAAATGAAAGCACATAAAAGAATATTCAAACCTAGTTTCCAGACAAATGGGTGAATTCTTACAAATGTAAATGCCCAGGCCATGCATGTGACTTTTGGAGTCTTTATGAATTAAAGGAAGATAACTATCAACACTAAGATCACAAGATGAGACAGCTGAACTCAAATTAGTCTTACAAAGAGCAAGTAGGTCTGGTGAACTTTGCAAGAGATAAAACTCAACTGAAGAAAAGTAACTTTGAAGACCACGAATATTAGTGAATGATAGGTTTAGCGAACTTGGTGATGACAGTGGTTTTTTGTGTTTTTATAGTTTTTGGTACTTTATTCATTTTTAAATTCATTAAACTACTTGACTTAAAGCATAGACAGTACTCAGTAATTATTTAAATACAAGTATCATTGAAAGTTGTATTAATTTTTATTTATATTATTTAATTATATAAGATTTTTTTATAGTTTAATTATCTTATTTTTATTTTCGTCAAGTTTTAGTTTAGTTTTTTTATTTTAGTTTTAGTTAAATTATTTAGTTTTAGTTAAGTTATTATTTAATTTTTTGCTATTTTTTAATAGAAGATTTAATTGCTTCTTTTACAATAAGTTATTTTTTTAAGTTTCTTTATAGTTAAGTCAAGCGCATTTTAAAAATGTATACAAATTTTCAAAACAGTCGTGGTCAAGTTTTTAAAATCAAATAGTGTTTGCGTGGTCATATTACGGCGTGAAGTCCC